ACAGTAAAAGAGCATGATCATAGCATTGCCAATTTCTATCAACCCCGAAATCCACCTAGAGTCCATGCAGTTTTCGATTGTTCCTGTTTATTCTCCGTTGTTGGGAAAATACCCCCAACAAAACCCAAACCCAACTCAAGAACCTGAGCCCTAAATCTTGAAACCCTAAGCTGCAAATCCACCCCGCACCCTCAAGCCCGCAGAATCGCCATATAGCCGTTTGGGAATTGGAGCTTAGGTTGAACCCTGCCATAAAAAGGGAAGACACGTGTTTTAGGGACAAGGGCTCCGGGTTTAGTGTTCGTAGTGCGTAGGGTGTCAGGCTTGAAGGTTTAGGGATAGGGCTGGAGAATGAAATTGAAAGGCCTACGCGAAGCTGAGTGGAAGCTGGTTTATATAGCGGATTGTGGGGATCATCGCACACATGATGGCTTTGGGGTTCATGGCTTGCGTTTCAAATTATGAAGTCTTGAGGTTAGAACAAGCAGATGACCGTCAAGCCCTAAACCCGAAGCCCTGAATCCAGAACCCTAAACCCTGAACCCTCAATCCGGAGCCCTAAGCCCTGAGTCCGGAATCCTAAGCCCCAAATCCTACACCCTATAGTCCCCCTTAAGTAGATAGAATATGAGGTATATGGGGATCTTATTATAATATACCCACAGCCATATTCTATCTACTTAAGGGGGACTATATCCCTTCGTGCGGAGGAAGCTGCGTGCGGGAGCTCCAACAGCCCCGGGGGGATCTCAGCAAAGTAAACCTGAACCCTGAACCTTCAAGTCTACATCCTTAGGCTGTATACTCAAATAGACCCTAAACCCCAAACCCTTATGCTCTGGTTTCTAGACCGTCAGACCTCAACCCTAAACCTGAGACTTTTAAAGCTGACAATGCAAACCTTAAACCTGTAATACGATAATCCCCGTTAAGTAGATAGAATATGGCTTAGGGTACACCATAAATTGATCCCCATATACGCCATATTCTATCTACTGAAGGGGGACTATAAGCCTTCCCTAAACCCTAAACCCTAAAACCCTAAATAGTAGCTTCCATTTTCTTTTCCATTATCCCTATATAACCCCTATAAATCCATATATAACCCCCATAAGCCTAAACCACGAAACTCTCGGCTTTTCTGGCTGGGATGCTCAAAGAAGCTGCATGTGCGCAACGGCATGCACCTACACTCCCGGAAACTAACATGGAAACCCAAAAAGGGCCCTATAAAGACTACAGTCCTTCTAAAAGGGGACCATATGGGTTTCCATGTTAGTTTGGGGGAGTGTAACCCACCCTGAAATCAATACTGTTGATGGAGGAAATCTTGCACCACTTAGGGGTACTAAGCTACGGTAATTCCCAGAGATTCTAGAACTTAAGCTGGTGCAAGATTTCTTCCATCGACAGTATGCTCCCCATTATACACGGGTACTATCTTGGGAATATCTGCTATTAGGGGTCAATGGACTTTCTCAATATACGGGGGTCCTCGTGCCCTACCGGTGACCCTGGGCATACCGCAGCACCATACATCCGTGCGTTTGGGTACATAGGGGGTCAATTATGCAGGTTGTGTCCGTCAACCGTCGCATGGATCCTGATTGGGTTTAGGGTTTGGGGTCAGGATCTGCCCTAAACCCTAAACCCTAAACCCTGAACCCTAAACCCTTTAAGGTTTTTGCCGGACTTGGGTTTCTCGGGCTTGGGGAAAACTTGCAACACATGGCCACATTCTCTCAGTCAACGTCAACCCCCTCAAGTCAATGGGTTTAGGGTTTAGGGTTTAGGGCTTCGAATTCTGAATGACTAGCGGATTTGGGTTACCGCAGCCCCCCCAAATTCAGGACCCTATCTGACCTTTCTTTGACTCCTACAGTGGATGGAAGAAAATCTTGCACCACCTAGGCTCCCCGCGGTGTAATTCCAGACAATCACAGGGCTTCAGATGCAGGATGTGCTACAAACATAGCATCTATGTAACCCCAGAGTCCATGTCATGTTCCATCTGACTTCCCATTTGAGTCTATGTGAAAAGGCATGGGGTTACAAAGATCCACTCCGTGCCGCCTATAGTACGCAATCCATATTCCATCCGCAATATGCTTATGCATATACTCCCCTATGATGGTACCTTTGTTCCGGTTCAGGTTACCAAAATTCTGTTGCTAATGTTCGCCAGGCGTCCTACCTCAAAATGCACAGCCCACTGGGCTCTCAAAAAATCTCCAAGAAGAACAGTTTTATGATAGAGGGTAAGGGTTTAAAGCTCAGGGATTAAGGCTTGGGGTTCAGGGTTTGGGCTTAGGGAAAGGGAGCGAATTAAGCCCTAGCCCCTAAACCCCAAACTCTCAACCCCAAACCCTCAACCCTAAACCCTAAATCTTAAACCCTGAACCCAAATCCTAAAGCCTCAACCCTAAACCCTACAGCCCTAAACAGCTTAGAGTTGAGGGATGAGCAGATCCGGGTTCAGGGTTGGAGAGTAGAGTTTAGGGGCCTAAATGATTACCAGTACTATGGGTTTAGGGTTCAGGGTTCAGGGTTTAGGGGGTTTAGGGTTTAGGGGCCTAAATAATTAACAATATCATCTTGAGGTCCATTTGAGGTACCATCGACTATAGTTATACAAGGAGTATGGAACCATAATATTGGTTGCTATTTACGCCCCTAAACCCTTAACCCTATGGAACCAAAAAATTGGTAATTATTTAGGCGCCTATATTAGAGTTTAGGGCTGAGAGCGCAGACACCAGGGCTTAGGATCCGAGGAAAATTTGTTTTTCCGGCGTAAGGTTTCGGGTTTAGGGGTTTTGGGTTGTGGGGCTTAGGTCTTAGGGTTTAAGGGTCTAGGGTTACCCTAAACCCTAAACCCTAAAAGTTTAGGGGCTTAGGGTTTGGGGTGGGCTTCGGATCCCCTAGCCCTGACCACGGAAACGCATCTTAAAAGCGGCTGCTGGGCATCTTACGGTTCAGGACTTACCTGTAACCGCAAGAACCTACAGCTTTATGGGTTATATCTACTAATTAAGGGATTTAGGGGTTTAGGGTTTAGGGTACTTACTACTAAACTGTAGGTTATTGGAGCCGCAGGTAAGAAATGCAAAGGTTCTGATTTGAGGCGTAGCTTTGCAAAAGATTTCGGAGCTGCAGGGCTTCATCATAGACCCCTAACCCAAACGACCTTCACGAGACCTCAAGAAATGGACCACGCAACTAAAGAGTCCTCCTCAAAGGCCTCCCCATCAACAAGACGATCCCATGGAAGTTGCAGTCTTACTAGAGAACATGGCAGATAAGGATCCAATAAGAGGCATATCAAAGTCATAGGGTCCTTACTACAGGGGTTGGGGTTACCAAAACTACTCTGCATTGGGATGGGATTGCGCCGCTATGCAGCTAAACACCCTTGATGTTTTGGGTTTCATGTTGGGTACTGCCCCCACCCAATAAGATTCTATAAGAAAGGAATCTAAAAGGCTATATATGGTGGTTTCCCAAAATCGGGAAATACCAAAATAGACCCCAACATGCTATAATCCTTATTATTATGGCGACTCCCGAAAAGGTACCCATAATTCAGTGAAACCCCCATATAAATATATTGTAATTGTTATCCAAAAGTTACTGAGTTTGCAGTACCCAAGTTCCATGTTCAGACCATGATGGAGCAACTTGGCCTACTTCAGCTGCGGCGTGCTCGAGTTGGGACCCTGTGGATACGTTAAATATGTTTAGGGTTTAGGGCATGCCCTAAACCATCAACACGTAGGGTTTTTAGCGTGCAGCATTCCACAAAGCTCTGCGCCCCAAACAGATTCCTTTAAGAACGCTGGGTTTTTACGACCAACAACCACTTCGTCCAGTATGGTGGCGCTGTGATTTGGCCTACTTCAGATGATGCCATAGTGTTAAGCAAAGTCGATAAGATTAACAAAGACGACGAGCTGGCAGCTCACAAACCCTGACGGACGCCATGAATACATCAAAAACGCGGATGTTCGTTTGGGCTGCTGCAGGGGCGAATCCGTATACAATTGCCGGCATACTACTCCGGCACTATGGATGGAGGAATTTCCTGAGGTGTTGAAGTGATGCAGACCGTCTTTCCACCCCAAACCCTGACCCCCGAAACCCAAACCCTCAGCGCTGATTTGGGAGTTACTCAAATTGTGCACTCTGAGGGTTGCCAGACAAGGTAAGGGTCCCCCTGATAAATTCTGCAAGATATGATCACTCCCAAGAATGCCTAGGGTTGCAGTTTAGGGTTTAGGTCATATGGTTTTCGCATTTTGGGGCTTGAGGTTACGGGTTTAGGGGGTAAGGCTTGAAGGATTACGTTGTGGAGTCGGAGTGGGATTACCCTCACCCAAAGTAGCATAGCATCCATCAAAACCCTCTGGCCTGTTGGCAAATTCCCTGGTAGCTTGGTGAGCACTGTTGTGGATTCCCTAAACCCTGAACCCCAAACTCCTGCAGGTCACCAGGCTGCTGGTTGTTCATTCGGACTTTTACAGTCTGGCAACGACGCCAACGCTTCCAAGGCGCGCATCGAAGCTCACTGTGCTTTTGTGACGGTTCAAGCTACACTGCTTCTGAGTGAACTTGACACCGGGCATCATGGATCAATTAAGGAGGACTCACCTAGGATTGAGCACGCTTGGCTTGATTTGAACCCAAGGGTATAGATTCACAGATTTAGGATTTACAGACCTCATCGGCTTCAAACCCCTAAACCGTAGACTCTAGATCCTTTCTTCTTTAACTTGGTTTACGCAGCTGAAGACCCTAAACTCAAATTCGTCGCTGCATCCCAGGTCTTAGATAGCTTCTAAGCAGAAGCCTTCGCTGAGAGGAAGCCCAACATTGATTCTTCGATTTGATTTCCCACTCGTGTGCTTGGTCATTCAAGCTTCTACATTATGCATCCCGGGTTACTTTGTACTGGAACCGCAAGAAAAGGCAGCATTCCATGCGTGGACTTGGAATTCTGCCATTCACTGTTGCTGCGCTCGCACAGGAAACTCTTCTGCCCGTGCCGCCTGGACAATGATACCTCTCACGTTAAACATGCTGTGGAAGTAGCCTCCCAGGACCTGAAGCTTCAGCCACTTCACCTGAGCATGATGCTCGCAGCGGATGGCCTGGTTCTCTTGGATATCACCATAAGGCTTGGAATCCACACACAAATGCCACTCACGGCCATCCTTTGAACAGAAGATCTTGAAGTGGACCTTCGCTGCTGAAAGACCCTTTGAGAAGCTGAAGCCTGTCAAGTATAAGGAAACGAAGGGCAACATCCACATGACCCAGCCATCTTCTAGTGTTATATTTGTGCGGTTGTATGTCAACTTCATCCTCAGCTCACCAGAAGTACGTCCGGCAACGCTTTCACACACAACAACCTGGTCTGCGCAGTCGAGGCCAACCTTCTGCGAATTCTCTGGGCGCAAATTATACAAAGCATCCTCTGATGAGAGCCGCAGAAAGGCTTGCTCTGCACCAAGCGCGAAGTCCTGGAAAATGCGTTGTACTTCGCTGTCCTCCTTGCTTTCTGCTTCGGCCCATGTGGACATCACTTTGATGAGCGTCTCGCCATTTATGCAGAGGGCCTGGGTTGCCAGAATTTCTCGCACAAGCCTCACGCTGAGTGAGGGTCGAGCCTGCAGAGCTGCTTCTGGCTTGCGAAGTACGGACTCTAGAGCACGCCTCCGCAAGTCGGCACGGTGAAAGCGATCCGCCAACGCTAGCATCTCGCAAGCTGTCTGTGGCTCAATGTTGATTGTTCTAACAAATTTTGCGCAAAACTTTTGCAGATCGGTGACCTCGTACTTGTCCGCAAGCATGCCCACTTCAAAAATCGTTGCGAGGATTGCCTAGGCTGTGAGTTGTTGATAACAAGCTCACGTCAGCCTGACATGGTGCAGGTATCCTCCCCTGCCAAAACCTATTTTGTGTCCTCAACGCACATATTATAAAACCCTGAGGGTATCTCAGTTCAAGAAACATCCATCTCCCCAAAATGCAGAAAGCGGAGGAAAGTCTCGACTGCGGCGGTGGAAAAGTCGGTAATGACAACTTGGGACGTGGCTCCCTCCACAAAGTTGTCCTGCTTGGCTACTTGCTTGGCTACTTGGAGTTTGGCAGGAAAGGACGCCATCTACAAGCCGTACTACCCCGCAATGTATCCCTGAGTGAGTCCTTACAAATTGTTCCCCTCATCCTTTCGCGTTCTAGGTAGTTGACAGGAGTCCGGAGTTGAACCATGCATGTTGGATACATCTAACGTCTAACGTCACCTTTCGTGCACTGAGTTGAAGGTGAATCCAAATAATACCCTGAACCACAATTGTTGAAACAGGCGGTACTTTGAGAGTGGAGATCCATCCTGGCAAAGCTGGAGAAATGCCAGATTGTCTGGACTTGGAAGTAGGGTTACCAGAAACGGCCTTTGAAGGGCGCCTAGCGTGCCAGAAGTATGCAATTATTTCGCAATTTAAGCCCACACCGTGGCCTCCCAAACCCTGGGAATTCAGGACTCTGCGTCCACAGCATCGTGAATACATGTGTGCTTTTTCTGGGTGTTCATGTTGTGTTAAATGGCTTGCCGATCATGACTTTCTTTGATCGTCGTCACAATCGTGGCCGTCAGCGTCATCATGATACTGTGGATGGAGGAAATCTTGCACCATCGGATCTACGTGAATCTACCTTCTGCCAGTTCTCGGCATTGGCGTACCCCTTGCTAGAGCAGCCCTTGCTGTGGATGGACAAAATCTTGCATGACCCTACGAGAAGTCTCACGGTTTCAGCATATAGGGCGAGGCAGGATTTGGTCCAGTAAAAGCATATTGTAGCAACAACCACATCAACACACTGCGCCCCTGGGAACATGGTAGGGTCCTGGCTACTCACCAACTAGCACGGTAAAGGGTTATCAGTTGGGGGTTTTGTTTGGCACCCACCTTGACCCGTAAAAACCTAATAAACAATCCTGTATCACAAAATGCCAACAATGGTTAGAACATCTCATCATCATGGTGTTAAGGACCTGACCAAACCCTGAAGCTTCAACAGCCGCCCCAATGCCCTTTCCAGTCAGTATGTAAGCGCCCTAACCCTACGCCCTAGCTATCCTTGAAACGGCAAGCGGCAAGCCCCTGGCCCTTACCCTACACCCTGCACCCGAAACCCTAAGGCTCTAAACCCTAAACCCTCTATCATCCTGGCACCCCCCACATCATTCCCTGCCCTCAGAACCCCCCTCAAAAAACAGAACCAGCACAAGGTGAACTTCCTGGTGGTTAGTCGGGAATGAAGGAAAATACAGTAATCCCTACATAACCCCTCTACAGATAAAAATTCCCTTGTTTAGGGTCTAAGTTTTAGAGGAGATTATAATTGCTTATTCCACTTCTTCCCTACTAACCACCTTTAAGTTAAGATTAAGGCAGCAAAAGCAACATGACCAGGCCTAGCGCTCAGGGATGAAGAAGAAAAAAAAAAAGGGGTCTCGAGTGTAGGGCTTAGGGTTTAGGGTTTAGGGTTTAGGGTTTAGGATGAAATCTTGTGCCAGAGTAATTTGCGGGATTTAGGGAACTTGAGCTGCACGCCGGTCGTCCTGCTTGATCATGGTCTCAAAGACAGGGGATGCCTGGGCAGTAGGAGCCGCCATAATTTATGGGTTTAGGGTTGAGCCGGGTTTTGACATGTCAGTGCTTTGGAGGTTCAAGAGGGTTTAGGTCTTGCTTAGACCTACAACTTCTAGCTGTATAGGTTCGAAGGGACACTGCTCCAAGTAAGTTCTAGGCTTTGGGGAGTTCACGACACTCTGATGTGAGGCACAACGTCTGGACCACAAGCTTCTGGATTTCTAAGCTCTCTCAGGGTGGTAAGTGAGCTATGCATTTCTTACTTCAGGGGTTGGATCCTGTCCTTGTTGGGGGCAATTGCTAGCATTGAAAATACTGCAAACTGAAGTACTAGCGCAGCGAGGCTTGATTGCTACAAGTACAATATTCGATGCAAGGCTTGGGTAACTTGATCCATACACATGGGGGTTTCCCAAAATCCTCCATTTGGGGAGCATTTTCTAGCATTGAAAATGCTGCAAGCTGAAGTACCGGCACATCGAGCACTCTAAGGATTATAGCTTTTTGGGATCTATATTGGGGACCCTCTACTTATGGAAACTATGACATTCTGACTCTTAACGCGTCGCCCACGAATCCAGTGCGCAGTGGGGAATGAAGGACTGGATCCCTGAAAAAAGGCCATGGATCCCGGATGGCAATGATCCCTGTAACCAAGTCTCCACGGTCCCAACTATGCACTAACCCCCAAACCTTAAACCCGAAACCGCGGAAAAAGAAGCGACTACAGAACTTCGGGGATTCAGGCGTAAGGTTGGAATAGTGCGAAGGCCCATCACAAACCAAAACCGACAGCATGCTTGACACTACCCGGAGCTCATAGACATGGGAATGCAAACGATCATCATAATGAGCACTCTGTAGAAAAGGCCCAGAAGAGGCCTCGGGCCCTAGAAAAGGCCCAGAACAGGCCCCGAGGCCCAAGAAGAGGTGGGAAGAGGTCCAGAAGCCTAGAAAAGGCCCAGAAAACGCTTTGAGGCCCAGAAAAGGCTGGGAAGAGGACCAGAAGCCTAGAAAAGGCCCTGAGGCCCAGAAGACCGGTGTTGCTCGACCGAGTACTCCGCGCTACTTATCCCAGCGTCTACTTGTCTACCGGGCACTGTTATGAGTAGCTTATTTATTATAACTGTGGTTACCCAGGAAGTCATATGACTAGAGCTCCCCTTCAAGCAAACAACGGTGTTGTCTTGGGGTTGCGGGAACTGTCCGAACACGCTAGCCCCGAAAGGGAACGTTAGCAGTGGAGCTGTTCTCACCCCGTACGCAATGTAGACTCGACTATAGCCCTTGTATTGTTATATGTTCTCATATGGGACAGTGTAGTCTCCAGGGGCTCCTCACAAGGATCTTTACATCCAGATGGGCCCACCCTGAAACCCTTGACATTCCAGGCTACGCATAGGCAGACCTAGAGACCTAGCATCTGCTCTGAAGGTCTACACCCCAAACGGTAAACCCTAAACCCTGAATGCTATACCCTTAACCCCAAACCCTGAACCCTAAACCCTATACCCTAACCCGTGAACCCTAAACCCATATATACCCTAAACCCTATACCCTAAGCCCTATACCCTAAACCCTATACCCTATACCTTGCTGCTTTGGGGGCTTACGTGGCCGATACACAACATGCACGCCTAGGCCTATAGAGCTGAAGGATTTTCGATAACTTCTTGGTTTCGGGCTTAGGGTTTAGGGTTTAAGGCTTAGGGTTTAGGGTGTAGGGCTTCGGATTTAGAGTTTCGGGTTTAAGCTTTAGACCCCGAGAGCAGAAGCAAGACCAAGTTCAATCAACGCCCAGTGGCACTGCTTAGCAGCACAGAGGATACTCGAAACTCGGTTCTCTTCACCTCATCCTCTCCAAGCTTTCCTTGCAGCTCCTCCACGACCTCATCTGCAATTCGAATCGGTCTAGGGTTTAGGGTAGCCAGCTTAAGACAAAACAAAAGCCTCATGATTCTGATGGCTTCAACATAATCCCCGGTGCCTCCACGAAATGTCTGGAACCCGGAAAACCCTTCGTCTTCTGGGTCCCGAACTACGAACAACAAACTAAAACCATCAACCCCAAACCTGAACCCGATCAGGAAGACTATTCTTCTGAATTGCTGAACAGGGTCCAGTACTTTACTTATGTAAGCTTACGTAAGACATGAAAATGTAAAGCTGGTTGGCAGCTCGTCTCGCACACCAACATCCTCATTATTTGTCAAACTAAACAACAGCAAGACAAAGCTTTGGAGAATCAGCAGGTAAGGCAGCATGTATATTCATAGTCCCCAAAACAGTTCGGGGTTTAGGGTGCCCCTCCCCGACCAAAGCAATTTGGGGTTAAGCGTGCCCCTCCCCAACTAAACACTGCATCTACACACTTACCATGTGCCACGGGGAACCCTATATCCCCTCAGCAGAGCTTAGCCAAAAAACAATCGTTGTTACAAACTCAGAGTTGTTTGAACCCTAAGCCCTCAACCTTAAACCCTGAACATTAGCCTGGCCACGATCATGAAATCGCCCTGCCCCCAGAAATTGCGCAGCACTGCCCGCATAAACTCTGGGAACGCCTCATCCTTGAGAACACCTTACTGGTTTTAGGGCTTAGGATTTAGGGCGTAATGTCCATAATTTGGTGTCCCCTATTTATGGAAGCTACCATGCGGCCGTGCAATACCACAAAAAAATACAGGTTTCCCACTGGACAGGTAAGAGGCCCATCCGCTCAAGATGCGCCTTAGTCTGCCATAGGGTTTAGGGCTGCGGCAACCCACTGCAAATAAACATGGAGGCCCTTCAGGCCCCTGTTGGAAAGAAGGGCAGTCTACGAATGAACCATTTGTCAGGTTCCATGGTTAAAGCAATCTAGCCAGAGGGCTCAGACGGTGGGGTAAAGGAAGGTGGGGTATAGGAAATGAGCCCAACATAATAAAGTGCATGCTAGGGATCCTTTAGCCCACCTACCTTCATCCTTAGCCTCCTGATCAGAGGTAGCAACTCATTCTGGGTGTCCTTTGAGTAGATACTCACTTCCTGAATTCGGAGGTAGGATCGGCCCTTGACAGTGACACTCAGTAATCAGTTCTGTACCACCTCAAAGCACTGCGGTGTAGGACCCTCTTCGTGTGAAACGCATTCAGCCTTGCAAAATTTCCTGCCGTTCCAGAAAAACCTGTCCCTATGAAGGAGTTTGTCTCAAACAGGACTTTAGGGTTGTTGGCTCGTTGGTTGCTGGTTTGAATGTGCCTGCGTGGATGATGTAAAGACTAAAACGGGATCCTAAAACCAGATTTGAAGCAGTCAGCACAGATCCTGTTCGAACCACGATGAAGCAACCGAACCCTTAAATCTTTAACCCGAACCCTATCCCTATTATAATCCGATTGTCCCTATACAACGCCTATATACTATGTAGTAGTTTCGGTTTTCTTTTCCATTATCCCTATTATAGTCCCCAAGATGGGGAGGAGGCTGAATCGTGCAGCGAGCTACCTGCTGGCCTTGTAGGCCAGGC